AGCAGTTCCACATTTAGCAAGGTCCACCTCGATTAAAATCTATTTTTACAACTGAATCCTGAAGCAAATTTACTCAGCATGACTGAAGTACATATTAGCAGATTTTAAGTGAAAATTAACTGGAGCAAAGGGTATGATTATCTACAACACAAATGACAGGGAATAGAAAGGGGAAAGAGTGAGAGATGACTTACTCCCCTACAGATCATTCAGATTGAGCTGTTGGACTATCAGCTTGGCCGTATTGAGAATTCATTTCCTGCAGCAGATGATAACGGTTCTAGGACTTGGCTTTCGTTAGACATAAGTCAATTAGTTTTCTCTCTATGTGTGTCTCTCTCTTTGCCAGGAGACAGTGTGTGAAGGCTGATCATTTTTTGGTCTGTGTGTGCTGTATGTTCTTTTTGTCTAAGAAGTGTAATGAGGACACAACTCGCTGGTCCTCCTTCTGTTCTCTGCTTTTTTTGTGCTGCCTTTATAGCTTTATTTAAGTGAATACTCAATTAAAAACACTATATAAATATTAGTGTATACTGTTTGGTTGGACTGCTGTTTACCAGTCACGCCCATTCCTACAGGCACTTGTGACCAACCATCTGTTCCTGCAGACACTCATTACCAATACCACCCACCCATGCAGAATGTTTGTCCAATCCCATCCACTCCCACAGACACACTTGTCCAATCCCATCACTCCCACAGACACCCATGTCCAATCCCATCCACTCCCAAAGACACACTTGTCCAATCCCATCACTCCCACAGAAACACTTGTCAAATCACATCCACTCCCACACCCATGTCCAATCCCATCCACTCCCACAGACACACTTGTCCAAACATCCCCTCCCACAGACACTCATATCCAATCCCATCCACTCCCATAGACACCCATGTCCAATCCCATCCACTCCCACAGACACCCATGTCCAATTCCATCCACTCCCAAAGACACACTTGTCCAAACATCCCCTCCCACAGACACCTCATATCCAATCCCATCACTCCCACAGACACACTTGTCAAATCACATCCACTCCCACACCCATGTCCAATCCCATCCACTCCCACAGACACACTTGTCCAATCACATTCCATTCCCACTGACGCACTTTTGACACACAAAATTCCACCAACTACTAGAGACACTTTTGACCAATCCCACTGGCTCCAACAGACACTCTTGAACAATCTTACCTGCTCTCACACACACTCTTGACCAGTCCTGTCCACTCCTACAGACACTCTTTAACAATCCCACCCATCTCAGAGATACTCTTGACCACCCCTTGGCCACCAAGAAACTCCCACAGACATTATTTATCTACTCCTACAGATACTTCTTGTTATGGTAAGGAACATTTGTTACAAAAATGTGAAGCTGAAGAGCAAATTTGCACAAATTGTGCTTGACCAGATTAATCAAATTAGAACCTAAATATCATAAGGGCATCTCTTGCACATGTAGGGATGCCTTCATATTATTCAACTTTGGAACAACGTTTTGTGAGGAAACCAAAACCTTTTGTGAGGAAACCAAAACGTCCTGTTCCTGTAGTCATCCATGTCTCCTCCTCTCCCCTGTTGAAGGTTTTTAGTGTTTCATAATTAATCTGTTAGAAGATCAGAGATGCAGATCAAAGCTCTTTCCCTTCCTCAGCCATGTCAGAACTCAAGCACTTTTGATTTATATTTCATAATTACACTCATGAGCACTAATTTGTACTGGAGTCATGCTTACCTGAGTCTACTGAGTGTCAAGATCTTTCACTACAGCTGTTTTTAGCTCTGCAACACATTACGTGCATGTTTCTAGATTACCGTGTGACAGAAACCACATCAGCAAGTCTGTTTGAGATGCTGAACAACTCCACAAAGCTGACTGAGGAGGTGCCACTGTAGGGACTGCAAAGAATAGTGGACTAATACATTCAGCCGTAGCTGCTTTAGGGATGCTGACTAGTTGGGTTCGGGGACAAAAAAACCCCCAGTGAGGCAGAAGGTAAATAGTACAACTAAACATACTTTGGTTAGTCTGAAAATATGTCAGAATTGATAATGCCAATTCTACAGTCAAATGCACAACAAAAGATATCTAATTTTCTTTAATTTGAGACTCCAGTCCCCAAGGAATACCTCCAGCAGTTATATTTAGTTGTATTTGAGAGCTAAATAAATAAAATCTGTGCTCTGTGGACTCCATCATGACCGGGCTGTGTGAAAGAACGCTTTCATTTACATTTATGGCATTTGGCAGACGCCCTTATCCAGAGCAACTTACATTTATCTCATTTATACAACTGAGTAGTTGAAGGTTAAGGGCCTTGCTCAAGGGTCCAGCAGTGGCAGCTTGGTGGTGCTGAGGTTCGAACTCCCAATTTTCTGATCAGTAATCCAACATCTTAACCCCTAGTTTGGAGTGAGTTTTTTGGGGCATGCTGGATATAAGAGGATGACCCAGAGTCATTTTTAGCCTGAGGACTGAGTCTGAGAAAAATTAGCTGTCGGCAGAAAACGCATCTTCCATCTAAGGAAGGCTCTGTTCTTGGACATGAGCTTCCTCTCCGCGTGTTCTTGGTTCCAGTTCCACATGAGCACAGTTTAAGGATTTGGTCATTCTCAAATAGTGTAATATGAGGCAGAGATTGGGGGGCATGGTGGCTTAGTGGTTAGCCTCACACCTCAGGGGTTGTGTGCAGAGCTTGCATGGTACTCTGGTTTCCTCCCCCAATCCAAAGACATGCGTTGTAGGCTAATTGACAGTTCCAAACTGTGATGTGCAGTGGGTTGGCACCCCATCCAGGGTGTTCCCCACCTTGTGCCCAAGTTCACTGGGATAGGCTCCAGGCTCCCTGACGTATCTTTGTAGAATAAGCGGTATGGAAAACGGATGGATGGATGATACGCAGATTTGGCTGTTATGAAGTGCATTTTGGTGTGTTCTTTGCTGTTGTTTTTACTACACTACTAAAACAGCCTACTGCTCTAATTGTAAAGCAGACTACAGACATCAGACATGGCTAGGCTATTTTAAACATCTGATGTTTTTTGACAAATTGTTCCTGTTCTGGAGTCTTTGAACCCAGTGTAGCTGCCATGGCCACGGTCTGGATGTCTGAAGTTCTGTGGTCACAACAGTTTAGGATATAATTGGTTTGCACCGACAGACAGAGAGCGCGAAAGAGATAGATAGATAGATAGATAGATAGAGAGGGAGAGAGGGAGAGAGAGAGGAGATAAATTGATGGATGTTGTGATATTTGATGTGTCTTGCATTCTCTCTTTCCGTTGTATGCAATCCCTCTTTGTTGTGCTTGTTTACTTGTGTTAGATGACAGGCCTCATATTTACCTGCTGAGCCTGCCTGATGTTCGAGAACCACCGTGTCAGCCATGTAACGCTCGGCGATTGATGGCACCACAAACACACACACACACACACCTGATAGATTGAGGTGGATTGAGTCAGCATTAAAACCACGCCAACAATAAAAAAAGAGCGTTTTTCAAGATGAAGTACTAAGATCTGTGAGAAGAAAAATGGAAGCTAAAGCGCTGTACTTGTCCAACCTTCTAATTCACTCTCTCCACTCATCCATGCCTCTGTTCAGCCAGATGTCCAGCGAGAGGTGAGCGGGAGCGAGAGACGAGGCCTTCACGCCTAATTGAACTTATTAAAGGAAGACCCTTTTGATAAACGGCTCCAAAGAGAGTGATATGTGTGCAGCAGAACGTTTAAAGATGAAAAGCGGCGAAGGGGAGCAGAAGATCGAGTGATATTAGAGAGTGAAAGAAAGTCAGACTTCTCGCCATGAGCTCGTCACCTACCGTCCATCTTCACAGGCTTCATTGAAGTTTTTATGTCTAAGATCCAGTCTGGCGAAGAAAAGCCCTCCTGCAGTGAGATGCTTTCTCAGTAGGAAGGACACAGATCTGGGAGGAATGTTCTTCTAACGATACATTCACCATGACGATGGAGAATTACAACCATCAAATTATACATAACTTTACTTCTTTTATTAAGTAGTAAACACCTTCTGTTGTGTTGCTGTTATAGTAAAATAAGAAGTGATGGGCTGGTGTTACTATCCCGATGTTGATTATTTTCCTACAAGATAGCAGCACACCCCAAGTGGGTTTTTCCCCCTCTAACACCACAGCAGTTTTTATTTATTTAATAATGACACATCATACGTATCATCATAGGTACTTTCAATGTTGTGGAACATCCAGGAAACAAGTTAGTTCCTGTTGTCACTTACGTTATAGCAGCTATACACAGTCGTTCTCTCGCTAGCCCTCTCTTTCTTCTCTCTTTAAGTCAGGTTAACATTGTCACGTATCAAGAAACTCTGGACTCCATTTCCCATCAGCCACTGCACTGCACCACCAGTCACATGACCACACGCACCTGATTCACGTTTTGGTTAATGAGCACTCATGTGTATATCTAGTCTTTGCCTGCACTGGTTTCTTGTCTTTCGTTGTTTTAGACTTTTGTCGTTCATGTCTCTATGTTTTGTTTCATGCCACAGTGTTTCGTCTAGTGTTCTTAGTGTCTTTGTTTTCTTGCTTTATTGTTTAAATAAACGTCTTAATCTGCACTTGCTTCTGCCTCAACCGTGATTCGTGACAAACATGCAGCAAGTTGAGGCAGGTTGTAATCACTGGGTCTTTAGAGGAATATCCGAAATCAGTACATTTCAGAAAGTTCAAGGCTCGATAACCTGCATACACATTGAAGAGACTCCGCAATGAACCAAAGACACAGGAGGCTGAAAACAGCCATACTAATCAGAAATGGTAAATAAGATTAAGCTTACTTATTGTCATTTTTGAACTAATTTCAATCTTGAAATAGTCTTTCTAGCATTTGTTTCTGTTAGCATTTTATTGTCGTCTTTTAAATATATTGCGAAACGGTATGCGACTGTCTAGAATAGAGCTATAGAAATAAATTTTACTTTACTTTTAAAGTAAAGAAACAGACCGGTACTTAGGGGAGTGGTAGCTCAGTGGTCAGAATGTTGGGGTTTCTGATCAGAAGGTCATGGGTTCAAATACCAGCAACACCAAGCTGCCACTGCTGGACCTTTCAGCAAGGCCCTTAACCCTTAGTTGTATAAAAAAAACGACATAATTGTTAATCGCTCTGGATGAGGGCGTATGCTGTAAAGTTTATTGCCACCTCATAATAGGAAAGACGAGATAAATTTGACCAGATTTAATGTATTTCTACTTGCTAAGATGACATTTATACAAAAAAAACCTCAACGATCACGTACATGTTATTAATCCGTTTACGTGACGCATCTCCTGTGAATGAGCTGTTCCTATAGAAACGGTAACGTATTAGAATGAGCGTGTTAACTGACCGGGGGGGACAAGTTAGAGGTTAGTTAAATGTTCACGGAAGACGTGTGGCCTGATCGGCGAGATAGGGTCTGATCTTCTTGATGTCATACAGAATGATCCTACAGGTGACCACGCAGGTGTCCGAATGTAGTCTGTAAAGTTCAGGTGGTCACCCGGAAGTCACCCCAAGGTTTCTGGCTGTCCTGAGTGTGGTTGAGAGAAGCTGTACAGTGAGGTTTATATATTAATATCATTTCCTGTATATATTATTTCTCCTTTCTCATGGATGTCCTTTACTATTCAACGTACAGCTCAGACTCTTTGAAAGAGACTCCTCAGACTGTGCAGTATGGGTGTGTGTGTGTGTGTGTGTGTGTGTGTGTCTGAGATGGTGTGAAGATAAAGAAATAGGAAATTTTGGTGTGTAGCCCTTTGACACTCACGGCTCTTCATAAAATAACATGTGAAATGTGAACGCAGTCTCCGTGCTAATCACACAAGATACACACATCACCCGTAACAAAGCTGTCAGTAAAGCGGCTCGTGATGAACATTACAGATGTTCAGGTTTATCTGCAGAGGCTCGTTCCTTCATGTAACTGCATCAGCATGATCATATAAACGTCCTGTCCTGTTTCCCCAAAGCGCCTCTTTATAACCAACAACACAATTCGAACGTTCATGCAAATTACGCTTATCCACAGTTTCTTTCATCTCCATCACAATATGAACAATATTAATGAGTATAGAGCCCTAAAGCCCTTTTCTCATTCTGCCGAATTAAATTCAATTAAATTGGATGTCACTGCATCAACTTCCCGTTTCACATCTGCAAACTCCATTCAGTTGGAGAAATTGAGCTGTACTCCAAAAGAAGAGGATGATGGTGTTTATCGCACTGTTTATAACAATGATATAGAGCGTAGTTTCACAGAGATAGGCGTTAAATGGTAGGAAAGCGCTGAAATTTAGTCATTTTCAGAGAAAATGAAATGCTACAAATTTTTCACTTGAGGATTTTTTCACTTCAGGTTTTAAATGGCATCATGACATCGTATTGATGAATGCTTGTCAAGAATAAAAATGTAAATGATAAAAGGCAAAGGGATATTATTAAAGTTATGTAAAATTAGTTAACAAAAGCCAGCACGTTCATAGTGTGTGACTCCTGACCACCGCAGCCGTAGGTGCTTTTTGAACGTCTCGTTCAAGATTTATCCCCCCTTTGCTGTTATAATGCGCTCCACTCTTCTGGGAAGGCTTTCTACTAGATTTTGGGGGCGTGGCTGTGGGGATTAGTGATCGTCCAGCTACAAGAGCGTTAGTGAGGATGAGGTCAGGCGCTGATATTGATATGAGGAGACTCCAGTTCCAGTTCATCCCAAAGGTGTTGAGTGGGGTTGAGGTCAGGGCTCTGTGCAGGACTCTTGAGTTCTTCCACCTTCTTCCAACCTTCTTCATGGAGCTCGGTTTCTACACAGAGGCGTCGTCATGGTGGAACAGGTTTGGGTCTCTTAGTTCCAGTGAAGGGAGATTATAACGCTACAGCATACATTTGATACAACTGTGTGCTTCTGACTTCGTGGCTTTGTGATGGTCAGGTGTCCACATACTTTTGGCCATATAGTGAATTTAATGTCATATAATACAATTTCATTTCATTTGGTTCCAGGACCAAAAGGTTCAAAAAAGGTATTTAAAAAAAAAAAAAAAATCTTTTTTTATTCTCAGAGTAATGCGCAGTAATACAGTATTCATCTATCTTTAGTAACCTGCTTTATCCTGGTCAGGAGTTATTTGGATTTGAAACTGAGCCTAAAAACACGGAGTGCGAGACAGGGATATACGCCAGATCAATGCAAATCCATTGCAAGACATTACACACTCACATCCAGGGGAGATTTAAAGGAGCCGCTCCATCCAGTGGCATGTGTGTGAATGAGGCTCGAGTCAAACGAGTCTCCATCACGAGCTGCCTCACCACCACCACGGGGCCTGCAAGGTGGAACAATACATTATACATTCATGTGGAAGTAGATAAAATATCAAATGCGTGTGGTGTACGGTCTTTTACCAATCTCCAAATCTGTGCACTACTGCAGAAAGCGAAATAAAAATCAACAGCACTACAAAGATAACATTTGATTCATTCCCTAACTGACTTCGTGTAGAATTTCATCGGTATCTCTTTTGGACACGTGAAGGAGTGCAGTGAGTGTGGAGCTGTCAATTTTTTTGGTGGAGGGAGAAAACAGATGTTGATCCACCTCTTCCTGATCGGGTGACAGGTCCTGAATTATTTAGGAGCTCCTCCGAAGACTTACACACTCTTCCCCAGGCTGATGTGAATCCTGGAGACTAGCTGAAGGTGTTTTTGTCAGGAGTGTCAGTCCGGGTTCTTTGTGCTTGGTGCATGATGGGCTCCTTGAGATGGTCCTCATTTCCATAAAACACACATTTTTTTTTTGTCTTGTGAAACTCGCCTCCAGTAGTTCCAGACATTTAAGAACGGCATACTCTGTCGGATTTTCTGTCAAATGCGTGGGCATTCCGATCTGTTGAAATTACCCAAACACCCTGGGCAGAACACACTACATCACGCTTTATGAGCGGAGTTTAAATGAAATGGAGAAGATGTCCAATTACTTTTAATATACTGTCTGATCAGAAAAGGGGAAAAAGTGCACGAGGCCTGAAGCAAGCTGTAAAATCCTCATTCTGGGAGGGAACCCCCTTCACACACACACACACACACACGTGTTCATGTGCCGTCGCCTCACAAACACCACAGGCTGGAGTTGGGGAAAACAACTGTATTCAGAAGATCTTAAAGAGAAAATCCTTAGTATAGTACTTATCAATTTGTCAAACACTCTGTGCCAGATTTATGTACCATCCACCCTACTGACATTCCTGGCTGCCTGGAGAGCACAAACACAACCAGCGTGAGTAATGAAGGCCATGTTCATTAATATGAGAACGCACCAGGTGGTCGCATTTACTGCTTTCATTCATTAATCTATAATAAAGGCTTCACTCTGGTGAGGGTCACAAAGGATTATTGAATTGATTCGTTTATATTTTAAGCAATAAAGCCAAATAAAGTTGAGTAGAACGCATTTGTTTACTGAAGCTTACCATGAATAGATTTTCTTTTACGCAAAGTACACGCTCGTATCCATTACAGGATAGAATCTCTCTTACTTTTACCTCATTACCTCCCTCTCTCCTTCTGTCGAGCCACACATGATATTATGGTGATGCCGGTGATCGTGATCCTTTCTGCTTTCCGGACCTGCCTGATCCATACTGATGGATGGACCTCTGGATGGAGCTCTCATCAACTGGAGGCTACATTCGGCCACTGAGGACGACCCCAAGCAGTGCAGCCTGGAGATCGCTGAGGACGGTACAGCTTGAAGTACCATGAAAATGGTTTTGGACCTCAATTCCACATGGACGTTCTCGCTGTTGTTGCCGGGACTACGGTTGCTGCGATGGCGTTAGGACTGCAATTACCACATGCAGTTTTACACTCAGGTCTCCTTTAGTGAACAGTGGACTAGTTCAGCACACAGACTTCATATAAAAACCACAATGAACTTCCTTTTACTTTCACACTATCTGTTGTTACCCACATGAGGACGGGTTCCCTTCTGAGTCCGGTTCCTCTCAAGGTTTCTTCCTCATATCATCTCAGGGAGTTTTTCCTCACCACCGTCTCCACCATCTCGCTCAATAGGGATGAATTCACACACTTAAAATCTCTATCCTGTGTTTAGATGTATCTGTAAAGCTGCTCTTGAGACAATGTCCAATCGAATGGAGCGAAATAATACTGCGATCAGGTACAAAGTAAAAATAACAACAACAAAAAAACCTGCAAAGCTGTTTTGTTGTTGTTGTTTTTAACCCATGCTATATTATGACGTGTAATCGGGTCAAGGTTGGGCTTCACATCAGGATAACTGAAGATGTTGGGTTAAATTCAGAACCATGTAGAGTATCACTAAGCCTGACCTGAAACTAGCCCAAACGGCTCGGGAGTTAAAAACATCCTCTATTCGAGGATGCAAGGTCGCCGTGAAGCACACGAATTCATGATGTACTGACATTATCCGCTCCGTAATCCCTCTCTTTCCTCTCCCATTCTTTACAATACATCTAACGGTAGAAATGTTTCTGTGCATCATCGTTGATCGTTCAAAAGAGGTAGTTAGAGCTTCAACAAAGTTTAAAACACATGGCGTTGTGAACGAGGGCTTTAGTTTAACATCTGCTACATTTGTTAAGGACTTGTTGCAACTTTAGCTGCAGCTGGACTCGACCGCATCGGCTGTTGTTTGGCGCACACAGTGATATAAGGGGAGCAAATCCTGATTAACTACCTCAATCATCTCCAGCTGAAGTGCAGGACGGACGGGTAGATTTCTAAAACCATACACCGTCCGCTCAGATGAAAGACAAACACTTGATTGTGAAGTGTCATAGTGTCGCGAGATTGGGTTCTGAATTTCCAAACATTCTCGTCTGAGGAGTGTCTCAGTGTCTCTCAGTGTGTCTGTGTCTCAGTGTGTCTCAGTGTGTCTGTCTCTCAGTGTGTCTGTGTCTCAGTGTGTCTCAGTGTGTCTGTGTCTCAGTCCGTGTGTCCGTGTCTCAGTGTCTCATTGTGTCTGTGTCTCAGTGTCTCAGTGTGTCTCAGTCCGTGTGTCCGTGTCTC